AATGTGTTAATTTTCTCTCCGTCGGCACAATAGCCTTGTGGTTAGCGCGCCGACATATGGTCCAAAAGCACATCAGAGCATCACGAGTTCGAATCCCGGCTCGACGACATTTCCCTAACCCCTCTATCTCTCTCCCACTTCGCTTCCTGTCTCAATACTGTCCTATCTAATAATAAAGGCCAAAAATAAATCTTTAAAATAAATAAATAAATAAAAAAATCTTCTCTCCGTTAAACAGAAATAATAATAATAATAACAGAAATAAAAGATAAAAACAGAAGGGCTAATAATTTTGACTGTACAATAAAAGCAAGAGAGTGGGCACTGAAAGAAGTGAAACTTTCTTTCAAAGTACTATATGTCCCGCTCCTCTTCATGTTTCAGTTAAAATTACATCAAACATCCAATTAAAAAGTGCATATTTCAAAGCTCGTCTGTAGCCCTTTAAAAGTGATTTTGGATGTTTGTTTTTTACATTGAATTAAAAAGCACTATGGTGCATGAAAATCAGTGTTTGTGCCCGCAGTGTCTGGCTTTAATTGAGCTCATAGAGAAGCGCTGCTGTGTATTTATCTGTGATTCAGTATGATGGATGCCGCTGTGTGCTCTGAAAGGTCATTCGTCAGGCTGGTATACCTCAGCCTCAAACGAGGTCACATTATGAAGCTCGTGTCCACAAAAAACGCCGGCCTTTATAAGCGCCTCAAACACACTCCACGCCTCATTCAGGAAAGGTGGCGATCTTTCAAAAAGGCTAATTGACAAATAGGTCAGTCTGTGTGTGTGTGTGTGTGTGTGTGTGTGTGTGTGTGTGTGTGTTTGTGTGTGTGTTTGTGTGTGTGTGTGTGTTGTGTGTGTGTGTGTGTGTGTGTGTGTGTGTGTTTGTGTGTGTGTGTGTGTGTGTGTGTGTGTGTTTTTGTGTTTTTGTGTTTTTGTGTGTGTGTGTGTTGGGAGGGTAATTATTAGGGAAAAAATTACACATCAAAAACATGGCAGGGTGGGATTTAAAACTAAAAACAGATTGATGTTAACTATTATAGATATTATTTAACTTTATTAATAATATTATATTATTTAACTTTAAATATTATATTTAATTTAATGGGTGTTACGAAGACGCAGTGGGTAGCACGATCGCCTGACAGCAAGAAGGTCGCTGGTGCGCTGGTCGCTGGTGCTGGGTCAGTTGGCTTTTCTGTGTGGAGTTTGCATGTTTTCCTTGTGTTGGCGTGGGATTTCTTTGGGTGCTCCAGTTTCCTCCACAGTCCAAACACATGCGCTATTGGTGAACTGAATAGTGTATGTGTCTGAATGAGTGTGTATGGATGTTTCCCAGTTATGGGTTGCAGCTGGAAGGGCTGCATAAAACATTTGCTGGATAAGTTGTGGGTTCATTCTGCTGTGGCAAGCCCAGATTAGTAAAGAGACTAAGCCGAAAAAAAGATTTAATTTAATTTTAATTAATTTAATTTTATTTTATTTTATTTTATTTTATTTTATTTAAATATTGGCGACATGTTGGCTCAGTGGTTAGCCCACAGATCTCTGAGCCACCGTGCTCCCCTCTATTTTATTTCATGTTATGATTATTAACCCTATAGAGCCGCACGTATCATATTTGATACACAGGTTTCTAAGACCGATATAATATCAACCCGATCAAAACTTTGTTTAAAAACCTGTTAAATATGATTTGATAAAAGGTAACAGATAAAAACAAAGTGGAAAAACTGCCTAAAATGTTTTCTGTTGTCAAAATTTCAAGGGCAAAATATTTTTTTGTCATTAAAATTAACTTTTTAAAGTTGCACAAACACCTGGTGTATCAAATGTGTATCTCAAAATGTATATGGCAAAAATTAGTTTGTTTGCTACATGGTTTAATTAGCATCTCATTTCCAAAAAAGTAGAATTTTCAACCTATGTTTTGATAACTCGGGACTTATAGGGTTAATTTTTTTTTATTTTGAAGGCAGTCAGCCAAAAATAAACTGAAACTCTTAAGCAAAACTCAGCAGAATGAATCTGAAGTGAATGTAAGCTCCAGCAGATCTCTCTCCAGCTATTGTAGACCCTTTTCTTGACACAGACCCTCGGTGTTGACATACTGAAGTAGTGAAGGCTCCACTAAAGTATGTCTTTTCATTTAGCTTCTTTACCAACCTCCCTCAACAATATCATCTCCAGAATCAGCCTGTTTCAGTCCTTCAACATGTTGACTCAGATCGCCTCCGTGTCCTTGAGACGCCCTCGCCTCCAAATAAAGCCGCGTGTGTATTTCTGAGAGAGAAATATTAATTCTGCCGCTCGTAATTGACTGCGCTGCGAGTCGCGGTGGGAAATAGTGTCAGATTCAGCTGTGAGTTTAAAGGCATCATAAATCACGAGTCTGCGATGCTGTATGTGAGAAGATTTATGATCCTCTGCACTGCTGCTCTTTCTTTTGGCCTTTTTACACTCCGCAGGACGCCGCTGCATGATATGTGTGTGAAGCTGACGAAAAAAAAGATGACCAAGCCTTCATTACTAAATCAGAAATGTCATTAAAACATGAAGCGATGGCTTGACTCGTTTCTGGGGAGTTCATAAACACCAAGAGATTGCATCATATTGATTTTATACAGCAGTCTGATGACTAATAACTGTTATTATTCACTTATATTTTGCACACAGCATTGCTGGATATATGAATAGTTTAAAACACAGCAGAACTGTTTCAATCATTCATTCATTCATTTTCCTTCGGCTTAGTGCATGATTATCAGGGGTCGCCATAGCGGAATGAAACGCCAACTATTCCGTCATGTTTTACGCAGGGGATACCCTTCCAGCCGCAAGCCAGTACTGGGAAACACCCATTCACACTCATAAACAAACACACTCATACACTGCGGCCAATTTTAGTTCATCCAATTTACCTGTGGGGTGACTTAGAAAACAGGAGCACCAGGAGTAAATCCCCGCCAACACAGGGAGAACATGCAAACTCGACACAGAAATGCCAAATGGCCCAGCCAGAACTCAAACCAGTGACCTTCTTGCTGTGTAGGTGACAGTGCTAACCACTGAGCCACCGTGTTGCCCTGTGGGGCCTACAATGGTAGAAATAAATACAATAGAAATTTTCCGAACCAAATTGGCCGTAGTGTATAAGTGCGAGAAAGCATGGGTGTTTACCAGTACTGGGTTGTGGTTGGAAAGGCATCCGCTGTGTAGAACATATAGTGGATAACTTGGCAGTTCATTCCACTGTGGCGACCCCTGATAAATAAGGGACTAAGCTGAAGGGAAATGAATGAATGAACTTTGGCGCCACCTGCTATATTAGCATTTTCATTTACAATTTTTTTTTGGACTGAGATCCTAAGTGTTTGTGTTAGATTTCTTAATATTGTCTACTTCTTTAATAAGGTCTTAACTGAGATCTTAAGTTTTTTGTTAGTTTCAAACCAACCACAACCAAAAAAAAAAGTTGTTACACCGAATCACAGTTCTAACTTTCATTTTCAAAGTGTCTGCTAGTTATTTTATGTTCAAGATCAGAGGTGAACTATCTGCTGCTGCTGTCAGTTGTATGACAATAAATGTCACATAAAATGGTGTGCAAACTCACATTGAAGAGAAATCATCATCAAGAGTGAATCATCATCAGAGGTGATCATTGTCATAGTAGTTTATGCTGTTGTTCTGATGCGATTTCACAGATATAGAACGCTTTTCTGATTTTTGTGCTTGCAGATGATTAGAACCAAAACTCTTTTTAACATGGAAAAGATACATGTTATCACCAATGTGGCTGTTGCTTTTGCTGAACTGAAAGCATTTGTGCTAAATTAAAATGTGCATTTCCTTAAAATAAATACTGACTGCAAACATATGAACGGGATAATGCGTGTGAGTGTGTTAATATAGTTTCCGCCAAGCCTACGTGCATCTAATATTTGCTCGACGTATAAATTCACAGCAGGTGGAAGACGCGTCTTATCAGCGTGTGACATATATAAATGCGTAAACTTCAAAAAAAGATGTTCTTGCCACTGACTTTGAGTTAAAAATAAAAGACTAGTGAAAAATAGTCCCAATCGTCTCTCTCTCTTTCTCTGAAACGACTAGCATCAAGAAATCCCCATACTTTATTAACCTCTCCAACCATCAAGCTCTCTTTCTGCAATATAATGACTACTTGTCGCTCTCCAATTAATCCCCGATGGATATAAACTCCCAACGTTTCCTTCAATCATTAACCATCCTGTTTCACTCAGAAATGTGTCACATTACAGAAGTAAAATGACTCGCTAACGGCGTCTCATTCAGATCTATTAGCATACGCCGCTAGCTCTTCTTATAACAACGCCGCGTGATTTACTGTTGTCATAAAGAGACCCGGGGCCAATTAGATTTGTCTAGGTCATGTTCATGGATGGGTAATTTGCCAATGCGCCTGCACAGGCCGACTGGATGTCTTTTTCCTCTCCTCCGTGACTCAGTCGAGCTTCAAAGTTAATTCGAGGTCAATCATAAGCTCCGATTTCAGTCTGCTGGCTCACGGACAGTCGCAGCTGGGCCGCGGTTTGATCATGCCAGACCTGTGGCCGGTTACTACTGAGAAAACAAGAAATCTTTCCTAATCAATCTGCAAACAGATCTGCAGGAGAGCAACCGCAGGTTTTAGAAACCCTAGTCTTTACATGACTTTTTACATCGAGAAATTAGACACTTGCAGTCATGTGAAAAAGTTTCTCCATGTATTTTTTCGGTAAAATAAGGGTAATCTAGGGCCTTTGCCTTTCATATAAGCCACTTCTGATCAGATCTGTAAATGCACTTGTAGCTGTAATGATTAAAGTGCTCATTTTCTGGATGAGCTTCTCTGTCTGTCAGATCATTCTGGAGGAGTTTGGGAGTTTTCTGCCTTTCAGTCAGGATGAGCTCTGGACTGGACGATTGAACAACTCTTGCAGAGTCTGATGCTCATCTGTGTGTGTGCATGTGTGTTTCAGGACAGCAGATGATTCTGTCACAGTGGGCACAGTTCTGGTGAGCCGGATGAAGATGGGGGAGATTGAGGATGGAGAGGTGGATCACATTACAGCCGACATGCACCAGAAGGTGAGATGTGTTGAAGAGGCAGTCCGTAAAACCAGCTGCTTTCAAAACAGTGTGCATATTAGGGCTGCTCGATTTTGGAAAAAAATCATAATCACGATTATTTTGGTCATAATTGTAATCACGATTATTCTAAACGATTATCAGTTGAAGTCAAAATCATTAGCGCTCCTGAGAATTTTGTTTTTTTAAATAACTATTTCCCAAATTATGTTAAACAGAGCAAGGAATTTTTTAACAGTATTTCCTTTAATATTTTTTTTTCTTCTGGAGAAAGTCTTATTTGTTTTATTTTAGCTAGAATAAAAGCAGATTTAATTATTTTAAAACCCATTTTAAGGTCAATATTATTAGCCCCCTTAAGCAATATATATTTTTGATTGTCTGCAGAAGAAACTACTTATACAATGACTTGTCTAATTACTCTAATTAAGCCTTTGAATTGCACTTTAATCTAAATGCTTGTATTTTGAAAAACATCTAGTAAAATGTTATGTGCTGTCATCATAGCAAAGATAAAACAAATCAGTAATTAGACATGATATATCAAAACTATTGTGTTCAGAAATAAGTTTAAAAAAAAAAAAACTTCTTTCCATTAAACAGAAATTGGAGGTAAAGGGTTGCTAATATTCTGGAGGGCTAATAATTCTGACTTCAACTGTATATATATATATATATATATATATATATATATATATATATATATATATATATATATATACAGTTATTTTTCACCCTGCAAAGGAGGAGAAATAAATACAATAGAATAAAAATATAAAACAAACTGTGATTTAAGCATATTACCCTAAGAAAAACACTTTAGCTACAAAAATCCTTCAGTCTGAGCAGTAAGGGATGTTCTCGTCGTTTGATTAATGATAAAACAGGCGGCAGCATTTCGCACGGTCACTTTAATGGTTTCTCTTTCACGTCTTTTGATTCTCAACTCGTTTGTTTATTACGAAAATGAGGGTTAATATGAATAATCACTAATCACCTCGTTTTGACACCTATTTGACCATTTAAGCGCTCATGTTGAGATTACTTTAGATGTCTGCGCTCCTCTGCTCGTCTCAGTGTGCGAATGAGACCGAATGCTGACCGCGTGCTTATCCGTGTGCGCGTGTTGCACACACACATAAGCACGCGGTCTTTCGCGCTTTTGGTATATGATGCAATAATCGTGTATCTCGATTAATGGTTTTTCATAATCTTTAGAAGCCATAATCGAAATCGGATTTTCGATTAATTGCACAGCCCTAGTGCATGTATAGTATACAGTTGAAGTCAGAATTATTAGCCATCCTGGATTATTTTTTTACCAATTTCTGTTTAACGGAGAGAATATTTTTTTAAGACATTTCTAAACATATTAGTTTTAATAACTCATTTCTTATAACTGATTCATTTTATCTTTGTATATTGTCCCTGATGTCACTTCCTGAAGAATGGTATCACTATGTTAAAAAAATGTACTGTTGTGAAACTAATATTAATTACACCTTCCAAACCTGTTGGGCACTTTTAAAGCTGTATATTTAGACATTACTGTGCTGACAGAGCATTTACGTCCTCTAAACCTTCATTAATCAGCATGAAACAGACAGACAGAATATAGTGAAGAAAAGCAGACGGCTGTGAGAATTATAGAGGTTCTGGAGATGGATGTTGGACATGATTGAGGAAATGGAGGGTATTTAGATGCGCACCATTGGGATTTAAATAGCGAATGCCTCATAAATTACCATTCAGCTACTGAATTCAGCACAAGATGTATGTTTGAATGCGGAGAGGGAGAAAGAAAGGCATACAATTCATGTCATCGCCGTTTTCTAACTTAATAAAGGTTTTTATACAATATACTATTAGACTGAAAGACAAGTATATAGACAGACAGATGTATAGACAAACAGACTTACAGACATATATATATATATATAGACAGACAGACAGACAGACACACAGATATAAAGGCTGACAGACATATATAGACAGAGAGACAGATAAATAGACAGACAGAAGTATACACAGACAGACAAATATGTAGACAGACAGACAGACAGATATATAGAGAGACATACAGACAGAGACAGATATATAGACAGAGATACATATTTATAGACAGATATATAGAAACAGATATTGAGACGGACAGATGTAGAAAGAGACAGATATATAGACAGAAACAAATATATAGACAGATAGATATATATAGACAGATACCAAGAGACAGACAAATATATAGACAGACATATGTATATATCGACAGAGAGACCTATATATAGACAGACAGACAGACAGACAGACAGAAAGACAGACAGACAGAAAGACAGACAGACATAAAGAGACATATCTATAGATACAGATATATAGACAGATGGATATATAGAGACAGAAATTGACAGAGACATAGACAGACAGACAAATATGTAGACATACAGACAGATACAGACAGAGATATATAAATATGTATGTGTGTGTGTGTGTGTGTGTGTTTGTTGGCTGGGTTCCGCTGTGGTTGTGTTTAATCTGAGTCTTCAGAAGTGATTCACTGTGTTCTGGATTGTGGCTCGTCCTGACGTGTGTTTGAGCCGGATCCACCACACAACAGCAGTGTTCAGATCGCCGCTGCCGCTCTCTTGTCGGCTTTCTGAGCCGTGTGCCAAGAACTGACTGGAAACATCCAAGGTCATGAGACCTAATGAGACGTGAAGACTCATCCGTCATCGCGCTAAAGCCTGATGCGCAGTTTGCATTTCAAGTGATTAGGCCGAGAGCGCCGCGGGTGCTGTTTGTGTGTTCTCTGAGAGTTCTGTATTATCTGAACAGCAGTGCAGGTGACGGATCCTCACTGTTCAATCTGCTTAACACACTCACACCATTTACAGTTAATGCTGTGCAGTATGAATATATATATATATATATATATATATATATATATATATATATATATATATACTCACCGGCCACTTTATTAGGTACACCATACTAGCACCGGGTTGGACACCCTTTTTCCTTCAGAACTGCCTTAATCCTTCATGGCATAGATTCAACAAGGTACTGGAAATATTCCTTTGTGATTTTGGTCCATATTGACCTGATAACATCACGCAGTAGCTGCAGATTTTATTGGCTGCTTATCCATGATGTGAATCTCCCATTCCACCACATCCCAAAGGTGTTCCATTGGATTGAGTTCTGGTGACTGTGGAGGCCATCTGAGTACAGTGAACTTATTGTCAGGTTCAAAAAAACCAGTCAGAGCTGATTTGCGCTTTATGACATGACATGCTATCCTGCTGGAAGTAGCCTTCAGAAGATGTGTACACTGTGGTCATAAAGGGATGGACATGGTCAGCAACAATACTCAGGTTAGCTGTGGCGTTGACACGATGCTCAATTGGTACTATTGGACCCAAAGTGTGCCAAGAGAAATCCCATACATCATTACACCACCAGCAGCAGCCTAAACCATCGATACAAGGCAGGATGGATCCATGTTTTCATGTTGTTGACTCCAAGTTCTGACTCTGTCATTCAAATGTTGCATCGTCTCGACCATGTCTACATGCCTTAATGCACTGAGTTGCTGCCATGTGATTGACTGATTGGAAATTTGAGTTATCAAGCAGTTGGAAAGGTGTACCTAATAAAGTGGCCGGTGAGTGTATACATACAGTGCTGTGCAAAAGTCTCATTTGCTGTTTTGGCAAGGTTATAATGACATTATATATTGTTTCTTATTCGCTTTATTAAAATACAACTAGAAAATACAGTTAGTTATATTTTTTGGGTTATATTATATAGTTATATTTTTTGGGGTCTAATTGTTTCAGACAAATAAAAGAAAGATGAAAGAATGAATGAAAAATACTGGAGATTCTGTTTTGGTTTGATCTGCATTTCTGCCAGAGCTGTTGCCAATATTGCCTGAATGCTGAAAATTACAGGCAGGTTTTAAATATGTAATTCTTATTAGAAAGTTTTGTTTTTCAGCATGATAATGATCACAAACACACTGCTAATGTAATGAAATCATATTTGGAGAGAAAAACAGCTGATAAAACAAAGACTGGCCTCCACAGAGTCCAGACCTAAATATTATATAGAGTATGTGTAGGCAGTATGAGATTCTCCTGGAGAGGAAAAGATAGTTAGAACATGCTAAATCTAAAGAAGAACTGTTAGAAATGCTGAAAAGAAGCTTGATTTAATAAATAGCACATCATTTCAGAAAAGACTCGCTAAACACATATTGTCTGTTTGTATATTAAAGGTAAACATAAAATGAAGAAATATGTATCTCAAACATATCTTGTGTGTTTGTTTTTCCCCACAGTGCACGCTGGTGTACGAGTCGTCACATGGCATTAATGATAAAGAGAACGGACCAATAATGAACACTGGTGAGTGCAAGAATACATTATATTTCTTTAGGTTAGGTTTTATGCGGAGAATAAGTTGTGACACATGAAAAAAACCTACATTAATATTCACATTTAACTTTTCACATTTAAAAATGTTTAAAAGTGTAATTTTGAGACTGACAGTTTGTTCTGAAGCATCTCATGTGCAAATATCATGTGACCAATCTATGCAACATTTCCAATGCGATCGATCAAAATGCACATAATCGCAACCCTTTGCTTAAGCTGTTACTTTTAACAATAAACCCTCGTATTAGGAGCTTATAAAAACTGGAAGTAGATAAACATCTATATCTATATAGACATCTGATATATCGATATTTGCAAATCACATTAATTGCATGTGTGTATTTCACATATACAAGGCATAAATGTGACATGTTTATACATATTTACGTATATATATTTTTTAACCATTCAAAAATCAAGTTTGTACATTAATAGAATTTTGTTTATCATTATTTTTTTAACACTTGTTGCTTTTTGACAACATTTTTATATTCATTTATTTTCTTGTCGGCTTAGTCCCTTTATTAATCCGGGGTCGCCACAGCGGAATGAACCGCCAACTTATCCAGCACCTTTTTACGCAGCGGATGCTCTTCCAGCTGCAACCCATCTCTTGGAAAAAAAAACATTTTTACATCTTTCTTTTATTTATTTGTGGTCATTTTGGCTGTGTTAATATAAGCAGCATACATTTTTAGCTAAGGTTTCTTTTCTTACTGATATTTTAATATGCCATCCTTATTTCCATTAATAAATCTATTTTACACTAGGTATAAAAAAGAGCTCCTCACAGGACCTTCAGGACAAAAATGTCCCCATTGAAAGCCATTAAAAAGGCAATATTTCATCTAAGGGCCATTTAAGGCATAAATTATTTGTTAACAGGCTTACATTTAGTTGGCAAGGCTTAAAAATGTATGATGTATAATATATTTTAGTGATTTGTTTCAAGTGTTTCTATTTTTTGGTCCTGTTTTGTTTTGTGCAATTTAAAAATTCTTAAAGAAATGAATCTGACAGTAAAGGCATCATTTCAATCATTCATTTATTTTCCTTTGGCTTAGCCCCTTATTTATCAAGGGCCGCCACAGCGGAATTAACAGCCAACTATTCTGTTTTACGCAGCGAGTGCCCTTCCAGTCACAACTTACTACTGGGAAGCACCCATAAACTCTCACATTCATACCACACTCATACACTATGTCCAATTTAGTTGTCTTTGGACTGTGGGTGAAACCAGAGCACCCAGAGGAAACCTATGCCAACACGGGGAGAACATGCAAACTCTACACAGAAATGCCAAATGGCTAGCTGAATAGATTTTTAGCCCAATTACCACCAAATTTGGATCAGACCATGCTGCCTAAAAGTTATAGAATTTCCCGGTTACTCTGCAGCTTGTTGCTGTGCTTGTTTATGATGTGGCCGCTGGACTGCTTGGCCCCAGTAGTTGCTGCTTGCAGCTATATTTATTATTTGGAATCACACCTGAAGCTATCTTTGCGCTTGTTTTCCTTTTTTTCTGTTAATACAAACCATTTACTGAATTTCTCTCAATAAAAGAACAGAAAAATCATTCAATTCCAACTTGTTACCGTTTGTTTGTTTGTTTGTTTGTTTATTTCCTTCTTTCTTTTCTTTAAGTTATGTTTCCAACTAGGCATAGGCCGTTATAAGGGTTCTGACAGTGTGATAACCTTGGATAAAAATATCACGGTTTCACAGTATTGTGATTGCTGCTCTTAATATATATTCTTTTTAAATGTCTGGGTAGAAACAGGGTTTCTGCAGGTTTCATCATGTCAAATGTAAAACTTTTAAAGACCATTATCAATGAAATTACAGACGATCACAGGGCAAAACGCTAATAATTTTCTGTAATAACCGTAGGATTTTTTTAACTTGCACAATTAAAACTAAAATTCAGTTATTTCTTTGCCACATATTTTAAATAGTGTCAAAACAAGCAAACTCTAGTTTAATACATATATTTTATTAGCACAATCTTTCTTTTTAAAAAAGACAATTTTTAAAAGCTATATTAAACAAAATTTATGCACAACACAAATTACATTTAATAAATGTAACTTTGTTCCCTAATGTTCAATAAAATATTTTCTGAATTCTGAGGTTTAAATCAAGGTTAATATTTATTTTGAGGGTAACTACACCTTAAACTTCTAGATTATTTTAAAATGCTAAAAAAAAAAACTGTATTTTTTGGTGTAATTTATTTAATAGAAACTCACAATGAGATACCAATCTAAAAGTCGTCTGAAAATCAAACCAAAATAGAATAATTTTCACAAATGCAATGTAGCATAAACAATATTAAAGACAGTCAGAATGTCTCAAAGTTTTAAAAGCTATAATAAACAACATTTATGCACAACTTAAATTTAAAAACTTGGAGAACTTTTAAACAAATGTTATTGAAAGGATTTCAGAAAGACAATTAAACCATATTCCTAAATAGTTAGCAAATAGTTATAAATGTTAATTTTGTTAAACGTTTTTTTAGATGGATTTGTTAGATCTACTGATTGGCTATAGCTTTACATGGACAATTAGTGACAATTATGAACTGTTTAAAAGTATTTAAGATCCTCAACAGCATATTTCAGTGATTTTTTTAAGGGCCTTAAATTTAGATTTTGAAATATAAGACATTTTAAGATCCCGCGGATAACCTGAAAAAACGAAAAGATTTTTCCTCATTGAACACAATATATTTCATTTTTATAATCATTCAAAATATTTTGGAGCAGTAATAATGAAAATCAATCATTGACTTCTGCTGTCTTCATTAGTTTCTAAAACAGAGATTTATTTACATTTTTAAAAAAAGTATCTTTGGATTGTTTTTTCTGCTGGTGATACTGTTATCCTAAAAAGCTGGGACAAAATGAATGAAAAAATCTTACACATACCTTGGGAACGGTATAGCAGAAAGCGATGACTGTTTTAAAACCTTGACTTTTCCAATCCGCGGTATACCTTGAAAACGGTTATCATCTCATGCCTAGTTTCAACCCCAGCCCCAGACGTTTGGGCTTGTAAAAAAATAAATGCAACTTTAATCACAAGACTTCCAGTAACAGTAAAAAAAATGTTTTTTAAGGGTAAACGTGACGTCTCAATTCAACCTTTGAAGAGTAGAATAAAATATGAGTATTTCCATCTCAATTCACTATTACCATAAGCCACAATGCATGTATGCCATTGAAGATGCTTTTTGCATTCATCTCCCAGACACTGGATCATGTTAACCAGCCTAACTTCATTCTCATGACTGATTCTCAGACTGATATATACATACACTATGATGTAATGTCCTGTAGGAGTGTGTTAGCGCTCAATTCTAGTTCTGGAAACTCTTTGAAAGTGCTATATTTGATTTATAGATCAACATGACGTGTCTTCTGGAGCTCTTTAGAGGAAATGCGGAATGAGGCGTTTGTGGAAGTGCAGTCAGATGAATGTGGACAGAGCTCTGATCATTCAGTCTTCAGAGAGACTGATGAGAAATGGATGACTTCATATTGAGTTGTTTGACTTTTTGAAGGCAGACGTTGTGCTTTGCTGAGTTTGATCCGTTTGTGATCTCTCCGAGACTCTTGAGATGATGAAGATGCATGAGTGCTTTTTCTTTTCTCAGGAAAGCAGGAGGCCTGAGCAAACATTTGCTGCCTGTGTCTGTCTAGGAAGCGTCTTAATGCATAGTTTTGCATGTCAACTTCTTTAGATGATATTTTGTGTTTATTACTGGAAAATAAAACCCTGATTTGTGTGATTTTTACAGTCACTATATTGCAATTTTTCAAAGTGACTTGAGTTGCATTCAAGGTCGGTTTCTTAGAAGTTAATATTTTTTAGACATTAGCATTTTTTATATTTTGACATCCTATGATGAACCATTTTTTTTATAAATAATAATTTGTTTATAAATAATTAATAATTTATTGATTTTTCTTTGAGCTTTTGTTGTCTTATTGTTTCAGGCATTCTAGGTTTGTTTTGTTGGAATAAATACAAAACAATACAATACAATACAATACAATACAATATTTATTTATAAAGCACATTTAAAAACAACCAAACCAAAGTGCTGTGCATAGGAGTACTAAAGTCCGAGAAGAAAACACTATATATATATATTATATATATATATATATATATATATATATTTAAACATTCAACAAATGTGTGAGTGTCTGGATTATTGTCAGCTCTAGCGGGTGTTGATTGGTGCAAGGCATTATGGTAGTTGTAGTTCATGCGGTGGCAGATGTGTAGTTCTCTAGTGATTTGTATAGGCTAGATCGCTGGTGATGGTTTATTTTACAGCCATAATCCTACCTAATACATAAACCCAACTACTATAATTAGAACTATTAATAAGCAGCTAATTAGTTGTTTATTGAGTTAAAAGTTTTAGTTAATGGTTTGTTAATAGCATGAATTGTATTAGGTAGTAAATATTAAGTCTTCTTTCTTTAACATTGACACTAATTTCATCAAATTATTCCTAAATAATAATCATAACTTGTGTGTTTTTACAAATGTATTAAATGAATAGGGACAATCAAATAGATTCATTTAAATAGATGAAACCTGTTGCAACTTTGAACTATTAAGTTAACTTAATTTTTATAATTATGTGCATAATTTATTTACTTAAAAAATGAACACAACAGGTGTATTTACTTTTTTAAAGTTGTCAACTAATGACTTTTTAAATTTTGTAAAACCTCATCATACCTAGTTTCTGTTGTGTTTTTATTTTATTTAGTAATTATTTATTTTTTGTAATAAATGGTACTTTAATAAAAAAAATAGACAAAATAGTGATTTATTTTAGTAAATGGAGCTTCCTCTTGTGTTTTATGCTACAAAATAGAACCCTGAGTTCATTTTTCAAGCCTGATTTCCCACTATAATAACAAAACGGTTGGAATGAACAGCATTTA